GAGACTATCTTGATGTGATCCTGGCTGGGTGGGAATGGCCAGTTACATGCTCCTGTCATAAGTCTGTTAACAGTCTGCTGCTTCTACTTCCTTTCATACCATGTTGTGCCTTCCTTTGAGTTGCAGTCTCCTGGCTTCTTTTGTCTTTTCTTCCTAGTGTTGCAAATACTTAAGGGGAGAACAGTTTCTTAGCTGTATTTCAGTTGCACTGTGAACAGAATCTGGTTGGGTTTCTCTCCCACAACAGAGACACAGCATCTTTGGTCATGTAACTCTTAAAGAGTTTTACAGGAGAAACATGTTAGCAAATTACAGAAGGCCTGAAACTACCAGTGTTGACAATAATTTGTATTTGTTGCCTTTGCATCTTTTTTTGGGAGAGTCATGACACGGCTTGGCACAGATGTCCTGAGAGAGATGAAGCAGCCTTGTGACCTGTATCTGAGTGGACTGGCTTTGTGCTTCAGGTGGACTCAAAAGTGTTCTTTGGCCTGGGTGTCCTCAGGCTTTGGAGGTTGATGTAATTTCCTGGTTAAGGGCAAAGGTGTCCCCTGCCTCAGGAAGCCTGGTACCATAGGAATCTCTCCATAAGAGCTGAGCTACTGCAGTTCTGAGTCACTCACTCTTCTCTGCTTTGATGCTCTCATACATGGAGCAGTTCCAAAGGCTTCAGTGCTTTCAGCCTTTTTGCTGTGCCACACATCCAGGGCTTGAAGGTGTGGTTTAAAAGGTGCTTATTTTCCTTTGTGTAGCAATCTTAAACTGCTCGAGCTTCAGTTTTGTGCTTGCTCAAGCTTTCTGACACAGCCCTAGTACAGCTGTTGTGTAGGTCACTCTTCTGAAGGACTCTTTACTGGCTGTTGACTCACTGGAGTTTTCCTCAAAGACCTGAGTGCACTAACATCCTGGAGGCTTCATTATGCTCCATACTACATCTGTTACCCTTTAGCTTTCCTTGCCAAGGCACCTGCCTTCTGTCAGACTCGTGGACAGTACAACAAAGTAACCTCAGTGCATTAAAGACAACATCATCGTCATCTCTTAAGGTTGGGAATTACTGACCCAGCAAAGTCAATATGACAGAAGGTAACTGGGGTTTTCAGAGGAACAAAACGTGTCATCTTCATACACCCAGACACAGACCAGGCAACCAGGATTTTCTCTAGCATCAAAGGCCTTCACCCACAAGTGACTTCTGAAATAGAAGGGTTGTGAAAGAAACAAAACTGGCAAATCACTCTGGAACATTCCAGTTTCTCCTCTTGGCCTCCCTTATGACTTCTCTCACCTAGGAACCATGGAAACAAACAAACAACAAAAAAAGGATGGAGAGGAATGTTTTCCATAAGCTGAAGGTCTCAGGCAAGTGACAGGATGAGAATGGACATCAGTTTCCCTTGCTCAGTCATTCCTGAGTGGTGCACAGCTTGCCTCGATGAGGAGCTAAGGAAGGGGCTCTCCTTGGGCAGTACACCAGGAGCAGAGTAAAAAGGGAGGTTTTCCCCATCTTTTTTCAGCAGCATGAAATCATGGGAGCAAAAATGCAGTCAGGATGGAAACCATGGTCTGTTTTTTTAGGCTCTTAGGATCAGATGTTGTGCATGTTTTTAGCTACAAAAAATAACATTACTGAGTCATTTTGCCTGGTATAAAACAATTTTTTTTTACAAAAAGCATTTTTTTAGACTGGCAGTGATCTTGGCTTGTCTGCAGCACTGATCATTATATTTGTTTTAATTTCCTTGGCATGTTTCAATAGATCAGTGAATTGTGTTCCTTCCCCCATGTTAAATATTTAGAATTGTGTCTACACCCATGACTGAGTGAAATAATCACTATGCTGATCTCTCTGTCTGTGTACTTATTAGTCATTTTATCACATCAGAAGTAGTGTCAGTTATCCAGATAAAGCATGGGTAGTACTTCAGAAGATGGTGTGCTTGATTTAGGTGAACATGCATATCAAATAGTGCTATTCAGAGTTCTCCTGGATTATAATTTTTTTTAAGTCTAGTTCCTGGTTTTGCAGCTGGCATATTTGAGTATTATGACCATGGCAAAAGCTCCATTGACTTAAAACAGTACAGAACAGGCACAAGGGTCTGCTCACCCAGGGTTAAAATGCATCTGATCTCAAGTGCTACTTCAAACAAACTTCTGAGGCAAGGTGGGTGTGCTTTTGTGCTCAGAAATTTCCAATACTAAGTTTTGTTTGCCAAGTTCCATGAGAACAGTAGGAGTTCAAAGTTGTGCTATAGTTTTATAAATTTTAGTTTTCTGGTGCTGGAAGCAGAAGAATGAATGGCCTATTTCTTTTCAAAATAGTCATAGAATGGTTTGGGTTGGAAGGGTATCTCAAAGATCATTTAGTTCCACCCCCCCCTGCATGGGCAGGGACACCTCCCACTAGACCAGGTTCCTCCAAGCCCCATCCAGCCTGGCACTGAACACTTCTAGGAATGGGGCATCTATGACTTCCCTGGGCAATCTGTGCCAGTGTCTCACCACCCTCACAGTAAAGGATTTCTTACTAATGTCTAACCTAAATCTCCCCTCTTCCAGTTTAAAGCCATTCCCCTTTGTCCTCTCACTACAAGCCCTTATGAAAAGCCCCTCCCCAGCTTTCCTGGAGGCCCCTTCAGTCACTGGAAGGTGCTATAAGGTTTCCCTGGAGCCTTCTCTTTTCCAAGCTGAACAGCCCCAACTCTCAGCCTGTCCTCATAGGAGAGGTGCTCCAGCCCTCTGATCATCTTCATGACCCTTTTCTGGACTCACTCCAACAGCTCCATGTCCTTATCTTGGGCAGCCCAAAACTGGACACAGCACTCCAGGTTGAGTTTCACTGGAGTGGAGTAAAGGCGAAGAATCACGTTCCTTGACCTGCTGTCTGTGTTTCTTTTGATGCAGCCCAGGACATGGTTGGCTCTCTGGGCTGCAAGCACACATTGCTGGCTCATATTGAGCTTCCCATCAACCTAGGCCCCCAGGTCCTTCTCCTCAAAGGTGTTCTTAATCCATTCTCTGCCCAACCTGTATTTATGCTTCAATTTTTCCCTGGAATAAGATGTATTTATTGACTTGTGAAGGGGAGTGATTCCACCCCTAAGTAAGAGAGAAATCTGTGTTCATAGTTCAGTGCTTTGAAGGATTTCTAGGCTCCTAAATCTTCAATTCTAAACTACTTCATGGTTTATGGCATAGGCATTTGTACAGCTCTTCCTAGGAAAGAACCAAAAGACACTTGAAAAAAATCCTTGATTATTCTTTAAAAATGATTAAAGAATTAATTATTTTTTAATAAAGATTAATAAGGGGGGCTTCTTTTGTTCAGGCAGGATATGTCCAAATGATTTTTCCCTTCAGTGCAACTAGATCTACTTTGTAGGCTGTTGCTGCATCATAATTGGATTGCTGGACAGTACTGACCAATGCACTGCATGTGCACATTTGCTTTGCTTTTTAAGATGACAGCAAAGTTTGGATGCTACTTAGTATTTAACTCTCTAAATCAGGTATTTCACTTTGAAAAGCTCTGAGCATTTAGCAGTTTCTACCTAGTGCTTTTGCACTTATGGGAAATGAAATAATACAGTCCCACAGCTACAGATGGCTTTTTAAAAGCCTGCTGGTGGCTGCATCTTTCTGACAATGAAGACTGAACTATTACTTAGTGTGTGTGCACACTTGCACAGAAGCTTGGCCACCCACAATGTTTTCCAACTGTATGTCTTATTTACTGGGCTATAAAACTGTTCAAACCTTGGCACCAATATGCCTGTATTAATTTTGGTTCCTCAGCCTGAAAACACTGTACTGAGGTGCCAGAAGGTAATCTGAGGGTAGGCTGCAGATATCTATAAGTATAGACCAAACAGTTGGAACACGGGGGGGGGGGAAAACCAGCAAAATATGGTTGGAGTAGAGGTGAGTATTTTTAAAAAATAATTTTAGGTGTGTTTCTTGTACCTTGATTATTCTGGCACGTAAATGCAGATTGGTCTTCCTGGCAAATGCTTGAGTAGTTTAAGGATTGCAGGGAAGAACACATTGAACACAGCAGGACAGCACTGTAGTTAATTACTGTGTCTTGCATCTTGACTCGCAGGAAGTAAGTGTTGGCTTGGACTAAAAGGAAAAGGAACAAACCTAACCTGCTTTTGGTGTGTCTGGGACCGTATCTGTGAGCTAAGTGATGGATTTTCTTTTCAGAATAACCAATGCATTCCAGCTGGGTTGGAAAACTACTACTCTGAACAAGACTCCAGTGCTCGAGGGAAATTTTACACAGTCATAAACCACTACAATCTGGCCAAACAAACCATCACGCGCTCAGTGTCCCCGTGGATGACAGTCCTGTCAGAAGAGAAACTATCTGAACAGGAGACTGAAGCTTCTGAGAAATCAGCTTAGGATGATAAGCTCATTATTAACACTATGTCATTTGAAGGTAACTAAGGGACTTTAAGGAACTTTTCATTAAATATAATTATGGAAAATTTAGAGGTTACTCATGTTTATGGTGCAATTGCTTCTGTTTGCTGATACTGCTTTGCAAAAGAACCCCACAAAACCAAAACAAAAAACAAAACCAAAACTTGCTGCAGAACGTTCATGGGCATAAAACAAGGTGCATATCAGCATTGCTTTAGAGCTTTGACACCATTTTCAATGTAATAAAAATCCAATGCTAGATATGTTCTTGCAGTTTATTGGATACTGACAGATTTCTTCACTGGATTTTCAGGGCTTGGACCTTAGAGAAATCACATGTTCTGTTGTCTGAACTGATACTTTATTAATTTTTTAATTCTTTGTCATTTTGCAAACTGAAACACCCCAACCATAACTAGAGTGATCTCTTGTTTAGCTGAACGCTGTATTTAATATTTAGTTTTGGCTCAAGCAAGAATGATAGCCAGCATTGATGTCAAGGGCATAATGTAATGACTTGTATAGAGAAAGAAACTGTCAGGTAGCTTTTTTCTTACATTTTTCTCTACTGTTGTTAATTTGTAAGTGCTAATGAAGTTCTCTGCAACAGGCATGCTCAATGTTTTATTATTGCTGTCAACAGGATTTAACTGCATTTCCACTGTGGCTTTAGCATCTTGGTAATGATGTGCACTGTAACACAATCTAGATAGACAGTCTGGAAAAATGCAGTTTTAGTGATGGATGTTGAGGATAATGTGAAAAATACACAGTTCAGGATGTTCTAATGAAAAATGACATCTTCTGATCCATAACTAAGAGGCAAAAGCCTATTCACAGTAGATATAGTCCACTATGTGATTTGTTGGATACAACAGAGGGAGTAATATGCCTAAATTTTCTCTTATTTAATTGACATTTTCCCTTTTTGTTAATTAGGAAGAGCTTTCAGTTTCTGTATGGTTTGCAGTTTGATACTTTTTAACACGCTGCCTCAAAAGTGAAACAATAGCCCATGAGGTAAACACAACTGGCTGCTTTAAAGCTACATGTGAAAGAGTGAAGAGTAGAACTGCTTCTGTACAGCTTGGGAGGGGAAAGATGTAGAAGAACATAGTGTTGTGGATGCACGTTAAAGTTCCATTGTAATTACAAACTTATCTCTTCTTTGTGTGAAACCATGTTTCATTTTTATTATAAATCTTATATATTACAAAAATGACATCTTATTAATTTAACAGCCAAAATAACTGTGACACGTCTGGGCAAGCCAGTCACCCTTCTGATCATGTGACTCAAATGGGACAAGGTACAGTGGACATGTCAAAAGCTACTTTTCCAGGTCTGCAGTAGAACAAACATGGTCAGCTTTTATTTTTCTCCAGTAGGATTGCTTTATCAACCACCTTTCTTACCAGTAAAAATAACCATTATGACTTAAATTCTGTAGTTTTGATATGAAATGTGCATTACACAGTAATGCAGCTTTTCACTAGGTCATTATGGTATGCGGAATGCATAAGAAGCAATAAATTACATGCCAAATTTTTCTTTGCATTTAAAAATTAAGATACGCAAAAGATAACCATGTTTGCCTTTTCTAGTAGCCATGTGTTTTATTGCATGTAGGTAACTCACATGTAACTTTTGACACTTTCAGTCTGTGCAGAGTAAAGAATAAGGATGCTGTTGCTTGCTGCATAAAATGTATAGAAATACACATTTCAGAACAGACGTGGCAAAACACATTTCTTAACGTATTTACCGAGGATATTTAGGTTTTACAAGAGCGCAAGATCTCTTCCCCAGGACTGTCCCACACCTCAATGATTCATGGTACTTTTCCCCTTAAATTTAGGACAATAAAAACTTCAATTCACAAGTAAATACTAAGGAGAAACAACTTCTTTCTCTCTCATAATGATAAAAATTAAACTAATAGTAAGCTTTGCAATTGAGGAGGAACAGATTGCTTATGCTTCTTGAAGTCAAAACTGTTTTTTCCTCTGATTTAACAGGAGGGGGTTTATCAATTCTGATCTACAGTTGGTTTTGAGACTTTTTTTTTTTAACAAGTTGCTCCACATTTTAGTACTTTAACATTGTCTATGCTTTGGCTTCGTTCTTGCACCCAAAACATCTGTTTCACTGCACAATCTGTGTTGTGTTCTCTCTTTTCACCTCGAAGTAAAGCTCTTCAGTTGCTTTCTTATTATTATTTCTAGTAAATCAACCTGATCCTTGACTTGAGTAGTTTCAAAGGATTAGCAGTAGATGTCATCCATGTGCAAAATGATCACTGTGTACTGAAGTGGTATGATTAAATAAAAGCCTGAGACAGTGTAGATGCTTCTGCACCGTAACAGTTTTCTCTTGATCTGGTCTGCACACTGGGAGCTGGTCTTTGACCATCACAGATGTGTGGGTGATGGATAAAAACACTGCAGTTTTGTCTCTTCTGTTAGCTGCTCCAGCTGGTAGCTTCCTTACTGGCTCTTTCAAAGGTTTTTATATTCTTGGCAAGATTAAGTCTGATTTCATGTTTGATAAAGGAATTTCAAATGAATGATACCAGCTCTGTCTGCACTAACAGATATTTAAACATGCTTATTTATTGGAAAATATTTCCATTATAGCGGCATGGAAAAATGCCTAATACAGGTGTGCCATATAGCCTGCCCCATTGAGAAAAAGTCAAAACATTTACAAAAAAAGCAGGTAGACAATATTTTTAATTAATTATCATACCAGTCCAGGAAAAGCAAGGAAAATGAACACATCACAAGGAAGAACAGGATCCATACTCTAAATCCAGCATTGTTTTTGATGGCCTGTGAGGAAAATATCATCTCTATTACCATCACCAGTAAACATACAGTAGAATTCCAACAGTAGCAAACCAAAATGACTGATTCACTCTTCCCTCACACAAGAGAAAACACAGCTTGCCATTAATTTCAGGTGAATACACCTCTTTAGATTTATCACACTACAGTTTTTCTCAAAATCTTAAAACTGGTAATTTAAAAAACACAAACCACATAAAACCACAACAAAAAAATCTCAAGATCCCACAATGGAAATATACTCAAAACATCAATCACTACATTAAAATGTACTTGCTGAAAGGTTAGTTTTAAGTTTCAAAAGTGAAATTCTGTAATTAGAAGTAATCAGGCCTTCATAATTCTAATAAACAACTCCTGACTTAATAAAACCAAACGACCCAAAGCCTGACAGCTATTTCTGGAACTGATTTAGCACTGTCAGTCACCTATTTCAGACTCAGAGCAAGGAGCACAGCCAAGGGATTTTTCTTAAGATTCTCCTTCCCAAAATTAAGTGACACAGAGAACCTGTTTTTCTCTCTTATTTTTCAGATTTGCACACAGAATAGATCTTTTTACATGACATAAATATGAATGTGAGTGACAATGAGAACTTCCACTCACTTGTACCATTTTCCCAAAATGTTGTCCTGACAGCCCAGCACAGGCTGCACCTTGGGTGGGTTGAGCTTGCACAGGCACAAGCAACACTTGGGCAAAACTAAGTTCTGAAAAACAAGAAAGTTTAAAACACAGCTTGGAGGTGTTACCTCTCTTATGTCTTCATTGCCTTCTTTGATATTCTCTGTTGCACCCACAACTAATTGATGGATATTATCTATATCAGTTTCCTGTTTAAAAAAATAAAATTAAGAAACAGTCATGAATGTCAAGGGAAAAAAAAAAACTTCAAAGGCTATGGTGAACAACCAGAATCTGGCATTATTAGCATCTTAGTTTAAATGATGTTTCAACAGGCTGCCCAGGGAGGTGGTGGAGGCACCATCCCTGGAGATGTTAAAAAAAGACATGGTGTTTCATATGATGGGTTAGGGGTTGTAGGGTGGATGGTTGGACACTATCTTGGAAGGTCTTTTCCAACCTTAATGATTCCATGATACAGAAGTATAGAGGCAGTTAAGCTGGAATTTCTTTACCTGTGATTTTCTGAGCCTGCATGGAGACATCAAAAGCAATAGAAAGTCTCCCATTTGTCTGGAATCAAATCTAACCTCTCAATCCTTGCCAGTTCTTTTGGGAGAGCTGCCATAATTTCCAGAAATGATGCTATTAAATAAGACATTTAACAGGAATCTAATTCTGAGGCAGAGGGATCATTCTAACACGTATGTTGCATTTTCCTTTCCCAGCACATACTGCTAAGTAACAACAGTAAATTTTGCATTTGAAAAAGAAAATTGTTCACGTTTTCAAAGATTCATCTTATGTTTACACCTTGCATGCAACGAAGACCAGAATACCCCAACATAACACTGAAGCTGCATTTGCTGTAATACTAAATTATACTAACCTGCTGCAGGACCTTTTCAGTGAATATCTCTTGTAATCTGGATATTTCCACCACTTTTCCTTCAATTTGTCTTGGTAAAGAACAGAAATACTCCATTAGAAACTAGTGCAAAGACTTCTTGCTGCTGCAGGTTCAGACCCTGCAGCCCAGCGCACAGGCTGCCCAAAGGGAATGTTGTTGGTTAGCTCCCTGTTACACAGCTACAGCCTCTGATCAGTGCTCTGACAGTTCATGGTTGGAGACAACCAGCCTGCAGTGAAGCTCTGGGAATGGCACCACCTGGAAGGCTGCAGATAGCAGCCCTCACCCACAGAGCTGCACCTGCCATGTCCTTTCATCTAATATAAAAAAAAACAAACCCACGGTGGACAGGAAGTAGTTCATTTTAATGCATCCTTTTTACATGCTGCTACTCCCCTGGACAGTACTAATGGTCCAGAAGTCAGGCTGTAGCCTGCGTCAGCCGCCCACAGCTTGTGCACAGGCAGGGGGAGCAGGGGCCACAGCCGCTCTGTGTGACAAGTGGGGCTCGCCAGGCACCTGCAGCCACCGCCTGCAGAACCTTTCAGAACTTAGGTAAGTGATACAGAACGTAAAGCTCCCGAATTAAACCACTACTATTTTGGATAGTTGGAGTGTCACTCTGAACCTCTCCTTACACGTGTGAACTCACACAGTTTTGTTTCCTGGGTGCTCCTCTTTCATCCTTCCTCCTACTGCACCACTACCATGCAAACAGCCAGGTGTCCCGCAGCAAGTACCCTCTGTGCAGGTTATGGGACCAGCATGCACAGTAATCTGTCCAGTAACAGAAAATTGTACCTGACTTCATCAGAGAGATTGTTCATTTCACCAATGAGTCTCTGGTTCTCCTGTTCAAACTGGAAGAAAGAAAACACACGAGTTCACATGCCTGGACACAGGGAATTCCCTTTAACCCCCACCCCACTCAACCAACTTTCCCCCTGTTCCTGGCATATTCACAATATGTCTCAATTACAAAGATCTTTCACAATTACTAACACTGGCACTAAATGGACAGTATGAATCTGCTTATTTGTAACCAGTCACAGTAACACTTGTCATTCTCCTCACATGAATGAAACAAACCCCAAAATAACTTGAAGTTTGCTCAAGCTACTTTGCAGTAAAATATAGTGGCTGAAATTTGTCCTTTTTATTATTTTAGAAATCTGAGTGGGGAAAGCTTTCAAGCTTGTGAAAGCATGTGATTCTCTTCAGGATACCTTTGCACTGTCACTCACATTATTCATGCACTGCCAATGGCACCAAGTTACGAGCTTTTAGATTTTGCTACAGTGTGAAATATTTTGCCATCTAGCATTTCATACTTTACAAATGCATTGGCTTTGGCTATTGCAGCAGATCTCTTCAATTTAAAATGAAGTAATCAATGAAATATTTAAATATACTTCTAGTAGTACATTTTTTTTCCAAAATACAAGCATAAATAGAAGACTTTATACAGGAATATAAGCTTTGACTTTTCAGATACCTGAAAAGGTACCTGACTGTCAGATCATCTGGGATTCATTACAGAACAAGTGATCATGCAGCAAGGACCATGACATGATTTGCTGAAACAAAATCTGCACAGCAAAATACAGCTGAGAAAGGTATCCTGTGTTGTAGTGGAGTTGGTTGGAAGCTGCATCACAAGAGCTGTGTTTTAGAGAGAACCTGCCAGGACATACTGAGGTGGGATGTTCAAGGTGCCTCAATGAGTTTGATCCTGCAGCCTGGCAACCAGCTACAGCTGGTGAAAGCCCGAGGGGGGCCTGCAGCCTGCTGCTCCCTGCTCTGCTGCTCCCTGCCCCAAGACCACTCAGACCCAAGCCACAGGCTCTCAGGAAGCGCTGGGAAAGGCTCCTCCCATCGGGGACAGCAGAGCACCTTGTATCAGAAGGGTTAATTCCCATTCTGGGGGATGGGGGAGAAGCTTATTTAAGGTATTCTACCAATTACTTCTACATGGCCACAGCCTCAGTAACAGCTGGGCCTTTTCAGTATGGACACAGATCCTTGCATGCTGCTCACCCACCCAATAGAGACCTGGTCTACATGGCTGTACAGAAACAGCACATCAAGGATACACGTTTCTGCTGAAAACATGACCTGCTCCGTGCATCTGGCAAACCTGAGTGAGACGTGCCACAGCGCGAGTACCAGAAAACAGGGCTCAGAATGCAAAGAATGCGACACAGGAGCTGCACAAGGCAGCAAGGTCTCTGCTAGGTTGTTAATCTCCTTATTTTGAAGGAGCCTACATAACACACAGGGCTCTGGGCATAGTTCAATCACGTTACAACTTCATCAGCAGTAAAAGCGCTGCAGCCCTCTCGGCCACCTTGCAAGGTCTTGTTATCCTGTGTTGTCAACGACGGCAGCGCCGACAGAGCAGCAGGGCTCACAGGTCAGGCTTGGGTTTCAGTCAGAAGAACAGGACTTGCTCACTATCTCAGCCATATGCCCAACACTTAGGCTTGCAAGAAAAGTATCTTCTCTAGGCAACACCTCCTAAGTACTGGAAAACTATCACCTTGTGCAAAAAGCCAAAGGAAGGAAGGAGGGGCAAAAAGTCTGAATGACAGAGCATTACGCTAACGGTGAGGGTCATGGTCCATCAGGGACAGGCAGATGGCATTTTGCTTTTGGAGCAGTGCTGCTGAAATAGCTGAAAGTTAAGAACCTAGTATTTCAAAGCAGCAACATGAAATTTAGTGGATATAATATGACATACAGTTCATCAGACCTATCGTTTCTTTCACAGAGCCAGCCCGTAGAAATACGTACATGTAACATTAGTGCTACACCGAGGGATGATCCTCAGGTCACCACTGTGACCCCCACCGTGCCCCAATGCTTCAGAGGCTGATGGATACATCCCTTGAAATGATCCATAATGTTCCTGGTGACACTTCTGCCATATCAAGTACTTTCATAATACTAACACACAGAAGAAATAAAGCATCTATACTGCTCAGGGTAGAGTGGAAAAGATCTAGTGCAGCCACAGTACCTGACTCTGACAACAGCAAATTAAATGTCAACCTGGTTACTGTGTTAAAAATCAGAAATGTGAAGGTTTAACCTAGCAGAAGTGACTGTGAAATCAGCAGTATTTTTAATGCAGGGTAACTGTGAATCTCAAAGAAAAAGGTTTAGTCTCCTGACACAGGCACTTTGTGTCATGAAGAATAATAAAAAAATATTTTTTATTTCTTTTAAAATACAAATGTCTTTTTGTACTAGACATTCACCGCATCTACCTGCTTGGCAAGACCAGATTTCTGTCCTTGGTTAAAGGACTCCAGCGAGTCTAAGATCACAGGTAGTGAGAAGGGCAACTGGGCACTGTCACCTTCACTGTGGGGCAGAGGCCTCAGGAAAGTAGCTCAGTACCATGGGTTGAAAGCAAACAGAGGAACATACTGTACAGCTCCTTGAAAACCCACTGATTTCTACCCTAGCGATCCAATGCTCCAACATACTAGTGTTGCAGCACATCCAAATGTCATTGTCACTGCTGTCTGTAGTGTCTCTTTCTGCAGAACACAGCATTTGTTAAAATATCATTGATTAGTACAGTGATATTTACTTCACAGTGGTGAACAGTTAGGTGTGTTTCATCACTGCACTCCTGTCTCTGGCTTTAGTGGAGTCACCTCAGAAGAAAGCCAAGGAACAGAGCGATGAAACAGAGGCATGAGATTTAGCACTGAGACAATTGGTTGGTCCTTGAGTGACTAAATGGGGCTAGCAAGCTCTAATTGCTTCTCTGATTTCTGTAAGGATCTGTACTTCTGTGTAAGTATTCAAATCAAAAACACTCAATTTTGCTGCCTTAGTAAAACTGAGATGATAACTAATTCAGAAGGCAAGTTTTCAATTTTCAATAAAGAAACACTGAATTATTTTAATCTCTTACAAATAGCATAAATCCACTTGAGAAAGTATTCTTTCAGAAGTCCCTTTGATATTTAAAACTGTCCACTGGCACAGATTTCTTTTGAAACTGCTAAATGATCTTTGTAACTTGAAATCATGGCTGTGGACTGATTGGCATGGACATGGTAAGACGTGCTCAAACAGTCAACTGAACAAAAGGTCAGAGCACAGAACACATCATGTGTCACAAAAGGGATTTGCATGATGGGAACATAAACCAAACTCTAGCAATCAGTATAGCTCAATGATTTATGGCTTATAAAAGTAGCCTCTTCTATGACAGTGAAATAGTCTGTTACCAAAGTGTGGTATTAAGCGACAAACTGCTTAAGGTGTATATAAAAATTTAACGCACAGAAGAAATAACCACAGTTCTTTTTTGCTACCCCATGAGATAACTCATTCTAGGTACTGTACCTGTATGTAAGACAAAGAAAGAAAGAAAAAGTTGGGAAAACTGGGTATTTTCACAACCTGAACAGCAAAGCCAGATTTTTTCCCACTCAATGCAACCACCAGATCTGCGCACAATGATAAAAGCCATCAATATAACCTGTACTCAGAGTTAGAAACTGAAATTTATTGTGCAAATCATACAATAGCCTGCAACCATTTTGAACAATGTAAAGCTCTCTCCTGTGGGTAAAAAACTGATAGAAATTGCTGCTGTAGCAATATGATAGGGCTTGAATTCATGACTTTAGCAACAGGAAGGATCACGGAAACATGACTGGGAATTGTTAAATATTATTTGACTCAACACATTCCAATTTAAAACCAACACAGCAGTTTCTACACTGTAACTCACCCTCTTCTGAGAACTGCTGGATTTTCTGAGTAATTTAAGTGTAGTTGGTTCACACCTCACAAATCGAATGTTCAAAAAGCTAAAATCAACTTCTCTGTAACAGCAAACATAATGCAGAGCAGAAATAATAAACTATCCTCTGAGTGCACTAGAAGTATAATGAAGTCATTAAATATTGCCAAGTTAGAATGAAGGGTTTATGTGAGCAATGAAAAAAGGAATACAAATTCAAATACTCAAATTATTTCCTAGTTACATCTATATTTATATCTTGTACCCAAATTTACCTGAAATTTAGAATAATGGGTCCAGTGACTTTAAAGTCTGTTAGAAGTGAAATGATACAGGATCCCAGATGTATTAATAAAGGCCAAGTCTTAGCTGTAAGTTTCCTCAAAAAGGCACTGAAAGAACAGTTTTGCAGTGGAATACTCACCATATACATCCCTAGCCTTTGTAAATTATCTAATTATAGTGTTCATAAAACAGAAATTAAAAAAACAACAAACCCTAAAAAAACCCAGATCATGTTAGGTCCACAGAACAGAGCAATGGATTGCTCAGCTCTGAGCATCAATGTATCAGTGGCAACATTTACATGTGAAATGCTGCTGTGCACATACATGTGTTACACTAATACACAACTCTGTTTAGTTTGACAACTCCAGTAACACACAATCCAGAGGAAAAAAAGATAACCTGATAAGAAATGACCCTCACTGGGGGGCATTAACTTTAACCAGAAACAACCTACTCACTTTCTACTTGACAACTGGTGGAGAAAGAAAAAAATGTCTATTAACACTGCCATGAATGCTGACTGACTTTTCTTTCAAATCGTAACAAATGCAGACTCCTTCCTAGGCATTATGTGGAAGTAACTGATGCTTGGTTAATTTTTAGTAGAGGCAGAAAACAAGCCTGTAGTTCTTCACAAGAGTGCCAGAGGCACAGACTCATGGTTGGTGTGAGAAGCAGTGAGATGCCACCAGGCCCTGTATGGGGTGCCACAGGAGAGAGCAGCTCTGGGCAAAATCAGACCCATAGGAAGATTTGACAGGAGATTCAGATGCCAGCTAAGAAACAGCTTTCTGCAAAATTTAGAATCAATTATAAGTAGAGATAAGGCTGTTCTAGTGGTAACTTCCTTTTGCATGCTTTTTTCAACTTCAGTTTTCTAGTACTAAAACACATAGTACTCCAAATACGTAACAAAAATAAATGTGAAATGTAAATTCACACATGGAAATTTGAGAATAAGCTATGGCACAAGAGCAGTAATAATATTTCAGTGTATTAATATATATGGGCCCTCAAAGTATGTTACTTTTATTTTGGCAGCATTTTGATCTTCTGTTTCTCTAAACAGACTAGCAAATTTGTGTCTTTTTCCATGGAGTTGACTGATAAACCTAAAGCTAAAATCTGAAGTCTTCAGCACAAGTTATTTTTCTAAACTTAATCATGGAACTGACATCAAGGCACTGTTATATTCTATGTACTATAAGTTTCTTGCAAACTACAGGCAGAACTGGGTAAGCTAGGAATAAGGACAAATATATACTCTCTGCACTAAAAGTTGATTTGACTTGGAGCATCAGAAAGATGCAACTCACCTAAGACATGTGGTATTTGGGGCCTTACTCTAAGAAGTATAAAAGAGTTTAATGATAAGAAATTTATTGATTCCCAAAGTACCATGGCAAGAGATGTAACATGTTTGAAACTTAATTCCATTGTGAGGGCTACAAAAAGCAATCCAACATTCAGCAGTCAGTAAGTCCTGTCAGAACCATCATCTCTGATGCTTGTTTCCTCCTCCTGATCCTCTGGAAGCTTACAGCAGGGGGGTTAACAATACTGTGTCTCACCCAGAAAAATGACCATATATAAAGAATTATATTTAAAAAGAAAACAGAACAGGAATATGCCTTTAGGTTTCAGACTAGCACTCAGGAACAATATGAGAACATCAAGAGCAGCCTCTGAAGAACCTTTTATCTTTGACAAACCGTACCATAATTATGTGCAACTTGCTCATCTCTGATGGGAAGAGTGATGCATAATTGTGTTGGGAACATCTCCAGTCACTGCCAAGGAAGCTTCACATACTTATACTGCAGCAGCCCTTTGTCTTAGGAGAGCTTGCCATTTTGAAAACTGCACATCTACTGGCTAGTTACAGATCAGATTTTCTTACTATATACAGAAAAAGGCACTGTGTGCTAATGTAAAGAGGTTTTCTAGGAGTTCTGACCCATGTTCAAAACAATACATTTTAGGAATATCAAAATGTCTAACAGATAGGTTGTCAGCAATCCTGCCTATGTTACACATTTTCTATTCTATCAGTTCTACTGTAAGCAGAATTTGATCAGACAATACATAAATGTCCTGATTACACAGAAAAGCAAAAAAGGTAAAATTAATGAGATTCTGTTCCGACAGAAAGCTTGTACCTATTCCTTCCAGTAAACCAATCTGATTTTCACCATCCAAAAAAATAAATAGGAATAAAAGGAAGTATAACTGCATAGGTATACATAAGTACTATAATTATTTAAGGTGTATTCTAGAAACAGTCCAAGTAAAAACAGGCCAACACTTTATTCTTTCATAATGCTTTTTCTGATGTTGCCCTGACTTCTATTATTTCCTGAATTTTAAAAAAAGCTATTCCTAACTGTAATTTTTAAAAACAATTTTAACTTAAACTGTAGCAATTATTTTGTAGCAACTTAAAGTATCAGCTACCAGCAGAAGAACCAGAAAGCCATGTACAAAAGGTATATCTTGTTACAGCATTACTCTGTATAAAATGAAAATTGAAAATTAATTTCAGTAAATCTGTACTTCTTAAAACTTAAACAAATACAGCAGAAGATACAAAAAAAAAAAAAAAAAAAAAAAGGACAATAAAACACAAGATATACTTACCATTTGTATTTCTTCCGGAGACAGCTCATCTTCATCTTTGCCATTCCCCCATAATCCAAGGTTACTTTGGGTATCATGCAGATTCCTGTCTGTAAAAGAACCACCAACACTTGAGACAACGCAGGGCACTGAATAATAAAGTGTAAATAAATGTTCATCCATTTCTGAATGATGGTGAACTTGTATCCGTCATTAACTGAGACTTATCCTATATTTACAGCACAAAATTACATCAGTAACCTTTCATTTCTAAAATGGGACAAAAGTCAGCATGTATGTTGGATTTTGTGAACTACAAGGAGCTGCACTAAGATACTGACAGTGAAGGATGTAAGAGAACTCACGACACACACAGATTTTTAGGGCACAAAATACTGTAGCATTTGTTGTTGAAGAAAGCACATAATTTTCAAAATGACAGCCTATATGCAAACTACTATCTTTCAATGAGACTTGACAGATCAACCAGCTCCTCATTCCAAAAAGTGAAAACAGAATCTCAAAGACATTTTGAGCAAAGTTCACAAACTGTCAAACTCTCTCTCCTCATGCTGTTCCAACTACAGTGCAAATCCTACAGCACACTGTGCAAGGCTTCCTGCATGTAAAAGAATTGAATCCAATCCCACAAACTAACTCTTACACATCAAAACTGCTTCTGTGATTTCAGTAGTACTTCCCCTGTGATTCAATCTAATCACCTGCATAAATTTTAGCAGGAATTGGGCATAAAAGATCTTGAACAGCTATTTCTGGGATGTTTCTTCTGGAAGATTTATTTTTAGACTTAATTATACACTATTGATTATAGATGAAGAAGTTAGAATGGAAAAGAAACCATACTACAGAAAGCTGGTGTTTCTGAAGCTGTTCTAGCACCAGTGTTTAAAACCCTAACAATAAGGCTGCACTCTGGAGAAGGCCTCCCTTCTCCTCCAAAATGGCTGTGACATTTTTACAAAACCCAAGAGACAGATTTGCATCACCTCACAACAGATCAAACTGAACCTGCTTTGGCTTATCAGGTGCAGGCTGCAAACTGAATACAGAAAGGTTTAGCTTTTACTTTGTCATAGATTACAGACTTCCTGTTTATCCCAGCTAATTATTTCAGGCAATAGCAAGCATTTTAATTTGTTTTGTTATACCTTCTACATCTATTTTTTTTCACTTGCATAAGCAGCACTGGTGCATCACCATTCAGATGATGAATTATTCATACTTCTCTTGGGAAGCCTCTGAAAGAAATAGTCCCATTTATAAACAAATATATGAAAAACATTATAATCAGAATTTTTCCCCTTTATCCTTTATTGTAATATTTGTGAAAACCTATTGTTCTGTATGTCTCATTTGTAAATGTATATTTTGCTTCCCCAGAACCAAAGCAGGATGTACAAACTGACAACATTATAAATGAGGGATGTGGACAAGGAATATAGTAAGTTGTTTCTTCTAAAACAACAACCAATAAAAAAATCCCACCAAAACCAGACCTTTCTTACAAGTTATAAGAAATACAAACTGGAATATCCTCAAAGATTGTTTAGAAAGGATTCACTTCTATGTTTTCCACGGGTTATCATCAGTATTTCAAGTCTATTTCACAGAAACACAAGACTTACTTGTTTAGGCAATCAATGTATTTACATGATATCAAAACTACAATGAATGATTTACTGGATTCAAGGAAGACATGATAATTAGTTTATGGAGCCAAGAAGTAAGATATATTCCTTTTCTATCCCAGAGGAACCAATTACTTTCATGCACTGTCAGCACTGCTAAAAAACAGCATCTGTATCCAATGTGATTGCTAATAAGAAAATATAGGTATGGTAAGAGGTGAGTGAGAAACACAGATCTCCCCAGGGTTCCTCCTGCCACTGCAGTACACCTCTGGCCACTGAGAAACCTGTTCTGCAGTTTTCATGGAGCTGACAAGAATGATGCTTTTCTGCAATTCATCCAGCAGAAGCCAAACTACTTTATTTTTGCAGAAAGAGAGAGTTAAAGCATGACAGAGATACAAAGTAATGATACTATTCTCTGAACCTTTTGCATGCTGAAAGGAGACAGATGCTAAGCTTGTGGAGCTGTTCAAAAGCTACTCACTATTTACATTTATTTCAAAATAAATACTGTTCACACAGAAAAGCAATCTCCAGAGGGACTATTTTCCTACCATGAAGGAAGTCCAGCCTAATTCTAAAGAGGTGCTTTGCCTCAAAACAAAAGTAATCATATTTTGCTGTGGTTTCTGCCAAAAAAACAGACAAAGCCCAAGTTGTGCTTCAGCACTCCAAGTAAGACATTCAGCTGTCCATAACATTCAACTTAAGGACAGGACCACAGCTGCTCTCAGAGGAACTATCATAAACACTAATGAACAGCATTCTCTAAACCACCAGCATCCAAAGGATGAAATATTTATTTCTAAACACTGTAACTTCTCCAATTTCTTAAAAATTGGAGAAGTTACTTGTAAAAAAAAATAATTATCAAGGGCTAGAAGACTTAAACTGAGCTTCTTGTTTCCTAGTCATCTCATTCATGCTATTCCCATGCTTTGACAACCACCTGCCAGCCAAGTCACAAGGCTGATTTCTACAAGCAGCAGCAACCAACACTTCTGTGAGCAATCACAGGTTGTGTGTATTTACAAACTGCTTCAGACAGATTTATTTTGATACACAAATTTCATAGCTTTCTCAAAGACTAGTCAGCAATCCCTCATTAAGTACTTCATCAGCATCACTGAAGTGAGAGGACTCCTACTTTCTTATAAAAATTGAAGCATACACTAATGAAAGCGAGAACTGGAACTACTGTGCAAGAACCAAAGCTTCATTTTTGCTTATTGCAGGGGTTTGTTGTGCCTAAGGCAACCAAAGAACAGTGTTTTCCATGGTGTGGCACAGATTTTTGGAGCTAAAAACTGTAATGACATCATGTGGTGGGAGTGTTCGCTTTCAGAGACTGCAGAGACATTCAGCAAGAAGACAAGAGCAGAGGGCAACAGAGACACTACAGGCTGCAGCTTCTCTGCTGGCACCAGCTGGCAGCTGTGAAACACTGATAACACGTTGGGCTGAAACTCGAGGTGCTGCAGCACTGCAGACAGACTGTAACAACACACTAGGCACTAGAAATGACATGTAATCAAAATCTTTACTTCTTACAATAAATTCAGTGTCGGACGGGGGGAGAGGGAGCATAGGCATATTGATGAGGCTGCTGCAGCACAAACTGTTTAGGAACATAAGCAGTGCCATATCAGAAAATCAAACCTTTCACACACTGTGAGGTAACACAGTATTAGAGTTTCCATCAGGCATGGAGTACCCACTTCATGTGAATCCATTCATTGTATGGCCCAAAATCACCCAACAGAGGAACTTGTAAAACGAAAATTGCCAAAGAAACAATAACTGATTATCAGAATAATATGGCCACCCAGTGCATTTCTGCCACCTTGGTGAAGCAGTGTCCTAAGGTAATGCCACATTTCATATAGCTCCTGTTTTTCTCCAAAAATAACTGTCACGCTGTAAATCACTGAGTACCTTGGACTCCTCTACGCAGCATAAGCAGGAGAACTGAAGCAAGGGAAAGGAGATTTTATCAATGTATATAAGTATCTAAAGGGTGAGTGCAAGGAAGATAGAAACAGGCTCTTCTCAGTAGTTCCCAGTGTTAGAACAAGGGGCAACGGGTACAAGTTGGAACATAGAAGTTCCATTTAAATATGAGGAAAAACTTCACAGTGAGGGTGACAGAGTCCTGGAACAGGATGCTCAGGGAGGTTGTGGAGTCTCCATCTCTGGAGATATTCAAAACCTGCCTGGATACAGTCCTGTGTAAAGTGCTCTAGTTTATCCTACTTCAGTGGGAGAGTTGGACTGGATGATCCCTGAAGGTCCCTTCCAACTCCAGCAATTCTGTGATTCTGTGAAAGCAACTTCAGAATCACAGAAACAAGATTCCTCTTTAGGTTGCAACCTGAAATTACCTGCCTAGTGTGGCACTCCAGAAGGCACTCTGCCAGGAAGTTCTGCCAGCATACACCTCCCAAAGGTGGACCAAAACAGCTAAGAGAAGGGACTTAAAATTCCTCAGCCTCAGAAGTAGGCCACCAAGGAGTCAGAAGCAATGTTCACGTGTTCTGTCAATAATAGCACCTACAGTAGGGCATCCAACTCAAGGTCTCTGTCCTTAAAACCTAGAAAATGTCCCCAGAAAGACATTGAGCTAGTTTCCAAGTCCTTGACAGCAGTGAAAGGAATCTGGAAAGAAATCAGACAGATCTCAGAAGATATAAAGTAGATGGATATTGATAAAAATATTTAAAAAGGAAAGAGTTCACACAGAGTTCATTAAGCATATCAGAAAGATTACAGTTTTGATTCCTCGGAACACACTTCACAGAAGCCTGATCAACTCAGGGAAGATGAAAATGCAAAAGATGCAAGTCACAGGAACAGGCCCTTGTAATGTGAAGAAAGTACTACTGACCAGACAGACTAGGCCACAAAAGGTAAAATCTAACTATGTTTTATTCTTACCTTTGCTTTCCTCAGCAGAAAGTTTTTCATCAGAATCATCTAAAGGATTCTGTGAAGATTTTTCAGGGGAAAGAGGTGATTTGGAGACGGTGCTTTGCTCAGGTTCAAGTCTGGACCTAGAAGCAAAAGAGCCTATAATTTAACTGATATTACACAGCTGAATTTCTCTAAAATGAGAACCAAATTTGATGCTTTAAGTCTTGCAACTTTCATGGTAAAGATTTTCCAGCCAAGATGCAAATAACAATTAGCAATTTTCGCTGAAATATTATTACACAGCAAAGAAAGTTTCAGTAGTATTCCTGACCAAAATACATCGCATGTTTGGAGTTGAAGAGAATTTTCAAGGCTATAGCATAAAAACACACAATTTATTAAACTTCCTTTCAAAAACCCAAACAAAATTCCTTTCAAAAAACCAAACAAACAACATTTTGGTTTTAGTGAAAACTCATTCTAGCAGCAATAGGCAACACTACTGCTTTAATGTTTTCAAGTAATAACTACAATTTTACTTTATATTGTCAGTTATTATAAAGGAAAATAAAAATAGGACAAAAATGGCATTTTCCTGATATGGATAAATATTACATAACTAGCTTTAAAGAACAGTTTCAGCAGGTTGAAAGCAAGCCTTTCCTTGTCTGCCAAAAGACGTAATTTAGCAGCAAGGAAAAGAAAAAACAGATGTAGTATAGATCTGCCCACTGCATGCATGTTCCTGCTATGTAATTTTAACACAAAGACAATGCAAACAAGTGAGAAGTTATTCAGTGATTATATAATAAGTACTTCTCAAGTATGTTTCACTGTAGCACCAAAAAAAGTTTTAAATCAGGGGCAACTTTTTTTCCAGTATCCTTCTGTGGTTTATTGTTGTCTACAATGAACTCTGTAAGTGCTACATAGCAGACAGTTAAATTCTTAGCAATTATGCTGTTTGTTAGAGAAGCTTAAGAACAAAAAAATCAAGAACTAATAGGCTGAATCACCTGCTGTGCCTCCTTCATCACTTCCTCCCTGCTCAAAAAGAATCAACAGTTAATCTCATTAGGATCTGCAACCTTCCCCTGCTGCTTAGCAGAAGGTGTTGCATTTTGTGTTCCTTTCCCTCTTCGTATTCTGTCTGAATTCTAACTCATAATTAGAAAATTCTAATTTCTAAATTCTAAATTCTAATGCACTGAGTGAATATACTATTTGAACAACACTTCTTCATTCTAAAGACTCTGCAAGCACTGGTCTTTTGGTAATTTTACAATAAAAGAACTCTTCTCTTATCTCCTGCCTCTCAAGTCCCAAATTTGCCTAATAATGAGGGAAAAATAGACTTATCTGGATGTCCATGCAATTCAAATGAATAGTTCTGATACAAACACAACACCAGTTCCCTATACAATAAAAATATTAACTTGATTTGAGTAATTGTATAAATAATTGCATAAATAATTCACAAGATATTCTAATGGGAAAGAAAAAGAGTTTTACATTGAAATGAAATAGAATTTTGTATACCAAAAACATTAAACCTGAAAATCATCACCAAGTACCTTTACAGAAAAGGTGGCTTGTGATTCTATTTCTCAACTTTTCCTTCTGAGGAACTAGTCCTATGCAATTGGTAGAACTTTTTAATAAAAAAAATGAGTTAATACATAAAGGCATCTTAAGAAAAGTACAACACAAGCAATTTATTGAAGAGCTTAGGATGTTCATCAATATAAAAAGAAACATAATGAAATGCATTTCTACTGCAAACCTTTCAGTATTAAGTTGACTAAATTGCAGGAAAGATCTGCACTAGGATTTAATGACTTTTCAAGTGCATTCTTTTATTGTTTGTTGCCCTTACTTTGCACAGTATGCTAATGTACAAAGTTTTCAATTAAAAATTAACAAAATGCCTGGGATGCAGTATGTAAAGAATGCCTAGCTCTTTTAACTGATGGAACATGTTCATATTATCACAGAAAGTGTCTGCTGAAATCCCTAGGGAAATTATGAACCAAACATTTGAAAGCATATGAAAATAGACAATTATTTTAAAGTCATCATAAAGATTGGTTTATGCCCTGTGATTTAAACTGAGTTTTAATTTAAATTATAATTTAGCTGTTACATCACATTTGCAATGCATACAGACTCCATCTGGTTAATATCTGTTTTCTAGTTCTTACACCCATAGAAAGAGGCAAAGAGGTATCTTCCAATATTACATAATGAGACTGCATCTTTTGTATTATTTTTAATGCCTTATTGCTCATTATTTGTCTAAATTATGAAATTGCACTTTCTCTGCCCATGTTTAGCACACATGAAGTCTCTTGAACCTGGGATTTCATAGGGAAATGATAATATAAGAGTACAACAAACAGAAGAGCTGGTATTTGTTAGCCAAGTGTATAGCTGCAGGAAACATGCTATCCTTCTTTGAAGTTCTTTAGTGTGAAGAAGACTGATAAGGTTATGTATTTTTATGCACCAAAAATATCAGTTTGTTTCTGTGTGTTTTTTTTGAAAAGTTATGTGAGATACAAAAATGCCAATGCCTTACTTTTCTTTCATTACTTCTTACCAAATTTCAGAACTGGTTTGAGGTATTTTGTTTACTTGGTTTTGGCTTATACTACCATTTATGCCTCAGGAGGATATATTTGAGTGAATATAATTGTGCATAATCATGCTGAATCACTCTGTACTAACAGACTTTTGAAAACAAGTCTCTAGTTTCAATGTAAATAGCCAAACACCAAGCTGATAAAGTAGCATTAAGTTTTGGAAAAACACTCAGGCATTTATTTATTGATGTGTACATTCTAGAAATTGTTGTTTTTCAAAACGTGTACATAATGGAACTTCAGGTTAGCATTCAAATAATGCAGACTGAGAAGACATGGAGGGCCTTCCAGGTATTAAATAAACTGAAAACCTATTAATTTTCCCAGCCATTCTTACTCGTGGCAGTGTGCAGAAAAAGAAACTGAAAAAGTATGGGTTTTGATACTGGACTGAAAAAAAACCAGAACAAAAAGCCAGCAAGCACATCATCTCTAACTTCTGTTAGACATTTTCACCTCTACATTAGCAGCCTGAACGTGTCTCACAAAAGGAAGTAGAAAATCTTTTGTTTCAGTTAAGATGTTACATTCCAGATTATTTTAATCATGTTTGTTTCTACATGCCATGAAGACCAGTCATCTCAAGTAGCATTTATTCAAAACATAATCACTTACATTAGCAGGAAGATAGAGGGTTTAAAAAAAAATAAAATGAGAAACACATCCTACAGCTGAACAGTGTCCTAATATTAACTTTGAGATGTATTATCAACATGCGGGATTTAATTCTAAATTATTTTATGCAGAATATTGCTTAATGGGACACACAATAAATATTCTGTAGAAGTCCAATAGGATTATCACCCCCATCTTACTGATTTGGTGCTTTATTCATTTACATAAATGAGAAGTACAAGACTAGATTGGCACTCTGCCATTTAGAGGCTTCACATGCCAGAAGTGTAAAACAGCCCTGGAATGCACCTGCTGACAGCACAAGTTGGTCACTCAACTACAGATTTCCACTAAAACCATCTCCTTAGAATCTAAATATGAAGAGTTTTGTTCAATATCCTGTAAATGAAAGGCACAGTTAAACTATGTTTTGACACTACTCACAGTCTCTTCTTATCTATCACTCGCTTAACTCGGATGGCTCTTTGTTCAGAGTACAGCTTGCACACTCCTGTCCAACACAGCAGGAAACAAAACTTCAGGTTAGAAAAGCATGGTTTCTTTCTTGGAAAATGCAGTAATTAATTTTTAACGATTCAATAAATAACAAATACTTTTTAAGTAATCTTCAATGAAGTCCAAGACAGCTGTTCTGTGCTCCTTCACCTGAGCAGACTGGACACCCTTGTGTGCTGAAATACAAAAGAAAGATGTAACATAACCTTGCACAAAAGTTTGTGTTTACAGTTGATATGGAAGTTATATTCAAGACCCTATTAACATTTAATACATGTTATATATTAGTATTTATGTTAAATATAGTTATATTTAAATGTTGGTTCTGTAAAACAGTAAATCATAATAACAAACCAACAGCTGAAAACTGGTGTCTTACAATATTTATCTTATTGATTTGTTATATATGCCACTGAGTCATATTATGACAAATAAATTTCTAAACAAGAATAGATGTCACCAAGATAAGCATAGCAAAGCAGGTCTAGAAATTTAACTTGCTTAAAGTATTGAACTTTTAACTTCTTACATTCTTTGGTATATAGACTGTGGAAATCTTCGGGATTTATTGTGTCAAGCATCCTTTTAATTCCCATAAATTAATATTTCTTATTTTGGTATTATGTAGTTCCCATGCATGACTGACTTTTAGTGATTCTGAATCTGTGTTTAGCATTATTCAGCATTAATCTCTGTTTAGATGGCACTTCAAAGCTGATTAAAATCTTTAGTATATTGATAAAACACACAAATAAAGCAAGTCAACCTGAAAATGGTGAGACAGAAAGAAGTTGTCCCTACGAGTTTTGCAAGATAGCATTATAAAGGTATGACCCCATACTCAAGCTGTCTAAAATGCTGTTGCTTTACCAGAACTCCATTAAACTTAATTATCTCTAACTTGGAAAGATTATACTTGTAATACCTTACAGCTGTACAAGCTAGAAAGACATGACCACCGAATTTAGTAAACTGTGGTTCAGACCTGTGTGTCACAGTCCTATTCAACTAGTAAATATTTAAGACTATCTTTTTTACACTTGTTAATAAGTGTATTTGAAGAAATAAAATTCTAGGCTGTGGCTCCTCCTTCCACTAACATTAAAGAAAATTAAGTACAGTACTAATCAGCCAGTGGGATATACAGAGCAAAAAAAGTAAAAAAGATAAAACTTCACTGATCTCTTTCCAAAAGCATTTCAGATTTCACCACCCAATATGCAGTGTTATATTAGCCTTTATCAATAAGTAAGAAAAAACCCGTATCAGAGTTGCTCAGTTTACCTTCTGTTCTCAGCTGATTAATGGCATCAGCGCAGGTCCTCATAAATATCTGAGCATCTTGATCTATCTGATCACGCTCTGTGTCTGTCATCCTCACATATTCAGACATAATATGGCTGAGAAACAAGACAAACTGTCACTTAAGAAATCCCCAACATAAAACCAACAAGTACACATTTTAGACCTTCCCTCTTACCACTTTCATGGAAGCTTTTCTGCAGCACTAATTTTCATAGAAAAAGAATTAAAAAATACATCACTGAAAAAAATGCAATCTCTGCAAAGGTGTGAGGTTTTAAAAAACATTTTTGAGTAGTAAAAGAAGTAGAAAACGTAATATATTCTATCATTTCATCCATAATCAAACACTGGCCAGATAAAGAGGCTAGAAAATAAATCATTACTCTCAGTACTTATCCTAATGAGGCATATTTAAAGTCTAAAAACATGAAAACAAGAAGAATAAAGGCACAGCTCATATGTTTAAAGCAGTTCAGAAAGTTTGGACTTATTTTACTTAAATGCATGTTCTCATTATCCTAAATATTGAGTTTCATTTTAAAGTTAGCTGTACTATGAAATCTGTGAATTCAAAGCATAGTAAAGAAAAACACTGGGAAAAAATACACATTTTTAATATCAAGTAGACTATAAGATTTATTAATATCCTTCACTTCAACAATGCCAAGTCCTTCCTATGTCTGTTTCAATCCCCGCCACAGAAATGCCTACAAACAATCCATATCACCCCATCTCATCGCATACAGAACCACCATCTCCTTCCTGCATCTTCCATGTACTGTCAGCACAGTCTCCCAGATCTCCTCCAAAAAGTTTTAAGCTTACTCTAATGTCCTTGAGTATTATACAAAAATGTCTTCATCTCAAACCCACTTAACTGCACATGAAAAAAGCAGCACATGGTTAATCTGGCTTGAAAATCAGCTTCTGCTCACTGGCCAGCTACTACACAAACACCGAATAACCAGCAAACAGTAAGGCAAACTAATTAGAATTAATGTTCTGTATTACTTGTTTGTTTCCAAGACTGTAATATATTTGACATCTAAACATCAGGATATTATTTTGCCTGTCATTAACTATTCTAAATATTGTAAAAATATTTTTATAACTTACAGAAAAGCAGACATATACACAGTGTTTCCATTTACATTTTACTAGCTGAACTGCTCTCCTTTGGTCAGGACAGATGTGCTTCATAAATTTGTAGCAAAATCTCTATCGCAACTGTAAACAGTGGTCTAAGCCAAAATTCTAATTTGCACTCTCTGAGAATCACAGAATGGTTTGAGTTGGAAGGGCCCTTAAAGATTATCTAGTTCCAACCTCCATGCCACAGGCAGGGACACCTCCCACTAGACCAGGTTGCTCAGGGCCCCATCCAACCTGGCCTTGAACACTTCTAGGGAGGGGGCATCCACAACTCCCCTGGGCAACCTATGCCAGGGTCTCACCACCCTCCTACTGAAGAATTTCTTCCTAAAGTGTAACGTAAATCTCTTCCAGTTTAAGGCAAGTAAAGTAGCTTCTGAATGATAAAAGATTTGCAACAGTCTGATTTTAGAGATATCTGATAGAAAGGCTTTCCACAGCCTGGTTAAGGTGACATATTGATAGCTACAAATGCAATATAAAATTGTTAAATAACTTAGGACAGACCTCTCCCCAACTCCCTTTGCACTTACATAGATGGGAATTTTTATTACTAGTTTGTGGCTTAAGCAAGTTCTCAGCAGGTGTGAAGCCAGAAAATCCATTCTTCCATCCATCTCCACACAGGCCCAAACATAAGTGAACCATTAAGATCACCTGGTATGGGATAATGCATAACATTGTTCAGTGATTCATGCCTACAGAGTTACTTGAGCATGTTAGGGCACACAGATTCACATGGAAAATGAGGATGAGGTAACAGCTTCATGATGGCGCCTTGATGAAGCAAAAAAATCTCCACTCTTACATTTCAGATCTCTGCAATAAGTTCTGACTGGGCCGCTACTGAGCAGAGTATAACATTCTTGCCTTTCTATGTCTTGGTTCTTGTACCCTACCCACCTTTGTAGTATTTGCTACATTTGCTAGTATTCAATGCTTTCAATGCACTTTTTAGTACCACAGAGTTAAATAAAGACTACAAAATGCAAACCAGGATTTGCTTTTAAACCAGACTTAGAAATACATACGAAAAACCTGCCTCAGGCAGGCTTTAGCTTTTTACTAACAATGTAACTAGTAGTCATATAGTGATAGACTGAGGATAATTGTATCAACGTTAGCATAGGAAACAAGTTTTTGGGTTACTTTTCCTAGTTGCTAGTACAAAAACAGGGTACATCAAATTCTTAAATAGGAGTGCCACAACTTCAAAGGTAGCAAAATGCAGCTTACTACAGTAAAGAGGAAATAGAATACTTCTCCTTTTATAACTGCCTTAGTGTCTGGTACCACCTCTTTTGAACAAGAGCTTGTCAGAGGCCCTCAGTGGCCAGGATACCTGACACCCAGCCTCCTTGGGAAGGCAAGATTGGAGTCCTACAATCACATCCCATTATGCCAAAACGCAAATGGCATCCACTAGTACTAACAGAGTACTGAAGTCTCCATTGCACTCCCCAGTAAAACTGCACGTGGAGATTATACTGAAAAGCCATCTAATCATCATCCTCTAGCCTTACTGTAAAATGAACAATTCATTTAAGAAGAACAGGCCAAGGAAAAACAAAAATACACACCAAAGAAACCCAACAAACAAACAAACAAATCCAGCTGTGTCCTGTATGTCAGAGATAAAAATACTTGCTCAGAAGTTCAGTTTCAGTATCATAGCAATGGGTTGATGAATCACTAAATCAAGACAGGTCAAATGAACAAGGTTTTTCAGAAGCAAGCAGAAGAATTAGCTAAAACATACACTGGCTAATGCACACAAAGAAGGGAGATAGAGGGAAAAGAAATTATTCTAGATTTTTATCTTAATCAATAGGAGAAAGCTTAATGAGAAGCTTGGGTTGGAAGGCAACTTGAGTTATTTGTGTTTTTTAAGACGGTGGGTGAAGAAGAGTAAGGTAAAGACAGTGTCCAAAAAATATGCAGATTTCATAGCACAAAAAAACTACTAAGTTAAATTGCATAGAAGAGGGAAATCTAAAGAGGAACAGAATTCAGGTGAGCTAGTAGTTTTTATATAGAAATGACATTACCATAATTTGAGAACTTACAAACCACTTAGCCTAGGAAAATCCAGGAACAAATAACCAAACAATTTTTAAGTGCTTCGGAAAGAACAAAAAGACAGTGAGTGACCAAGAATAAGTCATACACAGTTATAATTTCCTTCTGGGGTGTAGTAACAGGTCTTACGGACAGATGAAAAGCAATCATTGCTACTTATCTTTAGTATGGCTTTTGTTACTGTCTCACGTGACATTCTCATTAGCTATAAGCGAACATATGAATTAGAAGAAACAAGCACCACATGAACTGTCTGAAAAGCTGAAACTGGAGTAGTAATATGCCAAAACAGAAGGACATGCTGAGTTGTGTTCCACAGGGATTTGTCTGGCACTTTTTAATGCTTTCATTAACAACTCAGACAGTAGAATGGAGAGTACACTTATTAAATTTGCACAAGGATAAAGCTAAGTGAATTAGAAGTGTATCAAGAGAACAAGACTTGAATTAAAAACAATACTGTCAAACCTGGAGAAATTACATAAAGAATTTGAATAAGGAATGGTCAGAGACTCTTTGTTGCAACAGGAATAATTACCTGAACCCACAGAGAACAGGGAACAGGGAACAACTGATTAGGGAATAGTTCTTCAGTAAGTCAGCTGGGATCATGCTGGGTTGTAAACCAAACAACATCAACATGTTGTTGCATAAAAGAGTCATCATTACAATGGGATGCATAAATGCAGTATAATCCATTGTGAATGAAAGGGAATCTTTCCACTATCCTGAGCTTTGGCAAAGGCCTGATCTAGAGTTCTGTTTCATTTTAGCAGCCCAAGGAACACCAACTGGAAAGGAGAGGAAAAAGTAAATCAAAAGTCACAAAACATGTATGAAAAACCAAATAGAATGTACTTGTTGAATCTAGAAGGGACTAAAGAGAAACCACAATAAGCCTGTGTAAAAAATAATAATTCTAGTAATGGATAAGGAAATTGGAAAAAGCAGGGGGAGGATATGTAATCTCCACTGAAATAAACATTTAAAAGCAAACAAGATGTGCTGGTAGAATGACCCAGTCATTCATTTTTTGAATGTGTCAGCCATGTTCCTTCCAGCCTGTCATTTCTATGATCCTATTTTGCTGGCAAAGCATGAGGAACCAGAGCTGACGGAGGCGTTACACCAGCTTTTGGAACTAGTAACTCTTCCTGCT